ACTGCCGGTCTTTGCGTGTTCTGTTCCTGCAGCTCAGGATGCTTTTCCACCGCTCTTACCTTGATTCTTCAAGGCTTTTGCCCATTATTCTATTAATATGAATACATTTTTGGCCATTCCCACTCCTTTCAGACACAGTGAGACCAGCCAGCTGTGGACTAGAGGTGAACTGTGTATATGCCATGATTTTATTTGTATCTGCTTCCAGCAATGGTGTGTAGACGTGTCTTTGGGGAGAGTACAGGGCTTTAGTCTGTTTTATGCCTCCAAAATAGAAACAAAGTAGTACCTGGTACAAATTCTAGGATAAAATGTTGATAATAAATTAATGTATTTATATAGTTATATGAAATGTTGAAAAGAAATAGCCTCTTGTAATAGCAATGGTTACGTTAGGGAGGCAAGATGGAATTTTTTTGCATGTTCTGTCTTTTCCAGATTTTCAGTTATTATATTGCTTTTTTAATTCTATTGTTAAGTGATACAAAATATGATTACATGTTATAATAAAGAGCATCTAGAACTTTGACATCAAAATGGTTATTTCTTATTTTGTAATTGTCATTTTAGGTGCAAGGTTTTGTTTCCAGTTTTACTGCCCTAGTTGTTTCCGTTTATGAAATTCCACTCCAACTAGAGCTTCCCAGCTGTTTTCAGAGGTGAAAAGTGTTTTTGTGTGTGTGTGTGTGTGTTGTGTCAAGTGACATTCATATAAAGTCTAAAGAGCAAGGAACACTAGCCACGTTGACTAACAGCGTGTACAGTCTAGATTAGAGTGGGGCTGACATGAGAGACTTCGCTGTGTGTCATGTAAGTTCCTCCTCAAGCCCTGATATGTGTGAGCCCAAAGAATATGATTGCAAATGAAGTTGCTTTAAACACATCCTACATTAAACTCGAAGCCAAAACTGTCTGCCTTCGAGAAGCGGGGCATAGCATCCTTGCCTTGTGCATATGCATCCCCAAGCAGCTGGTTGGAAGAGCCACCCCTCATATGTCCTGTCAGTTTTCCTCTGTTGGAAAACAGTGCCCTCCCTCTAAATGACATAATCCCAGAACACAAACTGCGGGGTTTAACTGCTTGGATTGAGTGTCACCTCTGTCCTAGCAGCCGTGTGACTGGTCAAGTTCCAGACTTCCCTGTGCGTCAGTTGCCTGTGTGGGGAATCAGGAGGGTATTTCAGTCATGGGACTGTGGGTGGGTTTCAGCTAGGTCAGAATGGCCAGGCGCTTCAGAGAGCACCGTGCCTGTAACGCTGTCTCCTCAGTTCTGACATGCACGTCTCTAACAACTCTAAAATGAGGATGTGTCTTGCAGTTAGGGTAGTGGCTAATAAGCATTTTATCTTGATTGACTTGGTAACATCAGTTTTCAGTCAGTAAACATGAGCCTTTGAGCTGGTGAGACTTCAGATTTCAGGACTAAAGGTGGTAAGGGCTTGATGAATGGGCGCTGTCCTCAGCCGTACCCTCATCATCTTGGTTCTAACGAGACAGTGGCTGTGGATGGGTGTTCCTGTGCTAGCACAGAGCGTGTATCAAATCTCAGCTTCATCTGGCTCCTCGTTTTGATTGGTGTGCCCCTAGGAGAGATCTAGTGAGCACTTTCTTGTGGTTGTTCCATTCCAGCTGATGCACAGTGTGTGGGGGGTCAGCTTGTGCAGCGTTTGCGTTGTTTGCTGTACCCTGCTTAAGGAGTGCTGAGACATTCATCAGTGTATTGCTTCTCTTGAAACAGAGAAAGTACATTTCTGTTTTTTGTTGGTGTATTTTCCTAAATCCTTTTGAAGAAGTGCTTTTTTTTTCCCTTGGCTAGCAGAACTGAACTACCATTGTACCCCTAAGATTTACTGCTTTGTGCTGTGCTCTGAGGGAGACAAGAAACAGTCTATTGATCTGTAACAGCCATGGCCAAAGCTGGCTTGTACCATGCACTGGCATACACATCTGCATATCATTCAGAAGAATGAGTCGTCACAATTGGAGGCCACCTGTCAGACCTGAACAGTAACTGCGAAAAATCGATCTGCAGCTGTTCCCTTGGCATACCCAGTGCCAGGATCCACGCCTGCTGACACTGCCTCGGCGGTTAACCAGTAATAAGCTTGCAGTTCTCAGTTTGAGTCTCCTCCTTGTTATACTTTCATTGTTCAGTTTAGGGGAGAGTGTGGGACCAATTTGGATCTGAGAGAAAGATCTTGAAAGAGGTTCAAGAACAGGAGGGAACCTTGGGCCAAAGTGTCTCGGGTCTGACGAGGAGGATTCTGGGCACATCTCCATCCAAATACCTCCCCACATACTTCCTTCACCCCTAACACGCACAGCCTGTCTCTTCTTGTCTTCCATTTGCCCGCATGGTTGTGAGTGGTGGAATTTGCAGGCCCTTATGAAGCAAGAGAGCCAGCACACAAGGCTGGGAAGGGGCCAGTAAACAGGGTTTGGGCTGAGGTCTTTCTTGTTGTTGGCTCTTAAAAGTATCATTAGTTAATAATTCCAGAAGCTGGGCTCTGTCCTTTGCTCCTGCCTTCCTCTAGTCTTTTAGACTCTGTGTGTTCTTTTATGAAACTGGCATGTGTTGGGCATTGCTAAATACTCACTCCTGTTCATTAACAGATAATGCTTGCTGTCTCCCGGAAGCCTGTCTTTGGGCTAGCCCTGACTGTGCCAAGAGGGTATTGCTCTCCAGGTTCAATGCTGTTGACCTGAGCCAGTGCCTCTGTATCCTGGAGAATGTTGGGTGATGGCCCGTTGGTCTGAGCCTGTTGAGCCATCTGTCCTCCTGATGTGTTGCCATCCAGAAAGCAAGGAGCAGCACAGAGTGGCAGGTTCAGATTTGGGTATCTCTGGAAGTTCTGGAAAAGCCACACCGGGCAGGGGGGTCCTTGTCAGAGGCAGGCTTTTGACTCAAACAAAAACCAACCTGGGCCAGTGCTGCGCCTCAATAGGCTAATCCTCCGCCTGCGGCGCCAGCACACCAGGTTCTAGTCCCGGTCGGGGCACCGGATTCTGTCCCGGTTGCCCCTCTTCCAGGCCAGCCCTCTGCTATGGCCCGGGAGTGCAGTGGAGGATGGCCCAAGTGCTTGAGCCCTGCACCCCATGGGAGACCAGGAGAAGCACCTGGCTCCTGGCTTCGGATCAGCGCGGTGCACTGGCCGCAGTGCGCCAGCTGTGGTGGCCATTGGAGGGTGAACCAACGGCAAAAGGAAGACCTCTCTCTCTCTCTCTGTCCACTCTGCCTGTCAAAAAATAAAATTAAAAAAAAAAAAAAACCAACCTGGGTCCTTGTGAGTTTGCATAGCGGTGTTTCATGGCAGTTAGCTTTGAACTGTGGTGCAGGAGGAATTCGGCAGTGAAGAGCATTGCGCTGGTGAATCAGCAGGAAATTCTCACGCTCAGCGATTGCAGCCATCTTCCATTGCTTTTTATTTGCTTTTCATTTACTTTTCCCTCTGACTTCTTGTAATCTCCATGACCCAACCTAACTGTTTTCTTTTGCATAGCTTTTTTTTTTAAAGAGAGGAAGAGAGAGAGAGATCTTCCATCCACTGGTTCACTCCCCAAATGGCTGTAACAGCCAGAGCTGGGCCAGACTGAAGCCAGGAGCTTCATCTGGGTCTCCCACATGGGTGTAGGGGCCCAAGGACTTGAGCCGTCTTTGGCTGCTTTCCCAGCTGCGTTGGCAGGGGGCTGGATGGAAGTGGAGCAGCCAGTACTCGAACCAACACCCATATGGGATGCCGGTGTCCAAAGGCAGTGGCTTAATCTGCTAAGCCACAGTACTGGCCCCTTCTGCATAGCTTTTAATATACTTTTTCCTTTTGCAGATAATATTAAAACAACTAAAAGCAAAATGAACAGCAATGGTCTAAATATTTTTCTTGAATAATTATGACTACAAAAGTACTTGGGGCAAGTATTTGGTCTAGTATTTGAGATGCTGGTCAAGATACCCACATGTTGGTTCCTGGATTTGATGTCCAGCTCTGCTTCTGTCTCCAACATCCTGCTAATACCTAAAATGTTCCATAATTACATCTCCTGGGGGAATTATAGAGAACACTTTGGTTCATTTATTTCTAATTGTGTGGAAATATGCACATACATATTTATGGAAAAATTGATTTAGCATTGAATTTAGTCTTTTCATCAACTTGGAGTATTTATTGTGTTATGAAAAACTCTGGATGCAGTTGTTTTGTGCAGTGGTTGAAACACTGCCTGGACAGCAGGTATTAAAGCATGGTGGTTGTCAACCTGGAGGGCTGCCCGCATCATCTGCTGGAGTGCCTGGCTGCAAGTCCCAGCTCCACTTCTGATCCAGCTCCCTGCCAGTGTGCACCGTGGGAGGCAGCAGGTGATGGCTCAGGTTTCTGCATCCATGCCCCATCTACATGGGGACCTGTATGAATTCCTGGCTCCCAACTTCAACCTGGCCCAGTCCTGTCTGTCTGTCTGTCGGTCTGTCCGTCTCTGTGTCTCCTGCTCTGCCTTTCACAAACACACACACAGAAAAAAGGCATTTGCAAAGCCTACATCCTGTATCAGAGTCCTGGCTCCTGGGTTTGGCTGTCCCCAACCCCTGGCTGTGGTGGGCTTTTGAGGAGTCATGAATCAATGGACAGAACATATCTTTCTCTGCCTTCCAAATAAAGAAAAATGAATAAACATTTAAAACCCAACGTAATTCGGGCAGAATAGTACACATTCTGAGGGTGTTTATATTTGAAGGTCACCTTCCTGAAGTAGTTTTTGGAGAGCCAGTTTTGTCTCCCATGAGTGCTGCCTTCAGAGGCCTTCTCCCAGCACTGTGCCCCCTGCGTGTGTTCTGTCTGTCTCTTTGTCTCCCACCCCATACTGAGTGGCTGGAGCCAGTATGGCTGCCTGATCCATTCCAATTTGCTTTCTCCATTAGCAGTCGTCTTTGTAAGCAGAATTCTGAGATTTAGTGTTGGGTGTGCTTTGAGTGATCCATGTTGATGGGGCTGTCTTTGTCATTTCAGGTTGAAGGCGTTTCGGAACTTCATGCATGAACTTTGCATGACTCCTCACTCCTTTCTGCACCTGTCACTGGATTCATGCCAGCATGGCTCAGACCACAAAGGTTAACGGCTGTGCCTCAGGTAATGCTGGGCTCTGGAGCGTGCACGGGTGTGTATGTGTGTGTGTTTGGGTATCTCTTCAACTAATTTTTATTTCTTTTTAAATTATGGATAGATAATAGCAAGTTCCTTGATAACTAAGATTTCAAAGCAGCTTTCTATGGATTGAAGTTGTATTGTTTTTTAATCTGGAAAATTCACTGTTATCTTTAGATTTTTATTATGTACTGGAATCACATAGGCAAATTATTGCTTAAATCAATTGTATTGAAGTGTTGAAAGAGAAATGCAAAATCCGGAATGCTGAGGCAAGTACAGCACATCCTGTTGCACTTCTTTCTGAGAGATTGAGGAGAGAGGAAATGAGTTGGGATGCTTACAGCCAATTCCTGGTATCCACTCCCAGGCGCTTCTGTTTGATGTTGCTGAATGAACAAAGGGAAGGGGGAGAGCAGGGCGCATTCTGCAAGGTGACTCGGCCAGGGAGGAGCGTGCCCAGGGCTCATCATGGATCATAAAGACTGCTTCTCTGATTCCTACCCTGCTCAGAGCAGAGACTGTGTAGTTGGAAGATGTGTTCCAATACTGCTTGTGGAGGAATTGGGGGAAATTTGTAGAATAAATGCAGAGAAATCCTAAGACATGGCTCATGACCAGAGATGACAACGTGTCCAGAACAGCATGCCAAGTGTTCATTCCTGTTTTGAGTTATTTGCCAAGCAGCTGAATGAATGAGAGCTGTAGTTAGTGTGGGAATTCTTTCCAAGTCCCAGTGCTTCTGGCTCTGGGCATCCGTGAGTGGTAATAGCGTGTCCTGGGGGGAGTGTGCAACTGGAGCCAATAGACCTGCATTAACACCTGGCTCTAACCATGAAATAACGTACAGGTCTGTTCGTACAGGTTTGAAACGTGGGTATGGGTTAGGGTTAATGAGAGCACCAGAAGCGTACTTACGAGTGCTAGGAAGCTGTAAGGTGCTTTTAAAGACAGCAGCAGGAGAAGAATACCTGTAAAATGGGTTTTCCCAACTCATGTCTGTGACTTTGTTCTGGCAATCCTCGCCATGCAAGTATCCCTTCTGGCACAAACACTGTAGCTTGCCCAGGCCCTCTTAAACTCAGTTGTCTATTCTGGGACAACTGGTCTTTGCCTGTCCATCCTTTCTTTTTCAGATTGAGATTATTTTTTGTTGATCACCTTTAAAATGTTTGTTTATTTGTATTTTACTTGAAAGGCAGAGAGAGAGAATCATATCTTCCATTTGCTGATTCACCCCACAATGGCCCCACAATGTTCGCAGCAGCCAGGGCTGGGCCCCGCTGAAGCCAGGAGCCCAGAGCTCTTTCCAGGTCTCCCATGTGGGTGGCGAGTATTCGACAACTTGAGCCGTCATCTCCCAGGTGCAGAGGAGCCAGGACTTGAACCAGGCACTTTCTTAGGGAATGGGAGCATTCCAAGTGGTGACTCGAGCTACTGCACCACAATACCCACTCTTCCCTGTCCATTCTTTTGTGTATCCTTCCCACTGCCCAGCTTCTTGGGACTTTCATAGGTTCTGCACAGGGATTACTGTTGCAATACAAATATGAATGACAGTATCTGCCATTCACTAAACACTTACTCGGCACCATAATGCCTGCAGTGCTTTGTCTGCATTTTCATTCCTAATCCTCACAGTAATCCTAAGAGCTTATATAGCATCCCTGCCTTCCCCTCCTCCCTGTGTGATGCCACAGAAGAGTCAGTGACTAACATATGTGAAGTAAGAAGAAGCAGGCTTCTTGCTTGTTTCTCTGATAAAATGTCTGGGGAGGGAGGAGGCTGAAGCACTGGAACTGTCTCCACAGTAGGGAGGTGGGTTTCCGCTTCCTCCTCATGGCTCTCCCTGCCCGACACACACACACACCTGCCCCAGGTAGTCTGTGCCTCCGGACGCCCCCCTCGCCCAGGTGTCTCTGGCGTGTTCCTGTGTTCAGAGATCTGCCCTGCTGGCCCCTGATTCCATGCCCGTTTTGGCCTGCTCTGTACCTCCCTTTTCTCTCTTGCTGAGGGCTCAGGATCCAGCTGCAAGTTCTCCTCTTCCCCATCTCCTGCCTCACAGGTGTGGGCCTTGCGTGTGGAAGCAGCAGGAAGCTGTCTGACTTGTGACTGCAGAGAGGTGTCTGAACGCTGATTTTGATCACTGTGACCCACTTTGAGTCTGTAAGCAAATCTGTGTAGGGGCTCGGTCACAAAACAGCTTTTTTGTATGAAATGGGACTTTATGGAAAATGGAATTAAGAGATGTGTTTATTTTGGTGTAAAAATTTTTTGAGATTCATACACAGAGAGCCCTTCAAAGAATTCACAAAAAAATGAATATCATAAAAATGCATATTATGAAAAAGTATGCATAAATTTCAAAATCCTTTACACCAAAATATGCATTATGAAAATGGATAGTGTGAAAAAACTATGCATGAATTTCAAAACCATTTTGGGCCTTCTTTGACAAATCTTTGAACGTACCATTGAATATATGTGTGTGTGTGTGTGTACGCTCACGAACGTGTGTGCTTTTTACACATTATAAAATTTTAACAAAATAAAAATGTGTTAAAAAAAATCAAGCAAGAACTACTGGTAATACCATGACTCAGAAATAAATGTTTTGTTTCTCATGTAGTCTTCACATTTTATGTAACATTTACAGTTTACAATCTGCCTCTAAAAATCATGTTTTGGCCTTTTCTTTGCCCACTTTGTGTTAGAGAAGAAATATTTGCCAGTGTTTAAAACACTGCTGAATGCAGAGTGTGTGTTGGTTATGAATACACTGTTCTGTAATGTAGTTAATGTAAGAGCATTCACAGGCCCCAGATGAAGATGGGGCACAGAGGGCTCTCTGACAGCTCTGGAGGCCCTGGCCTCTCCTGTGAGAAAAAGAACAATTGTTTTGCTTGTCTGGTAGGAGTTGTGAGTGTGGAGTAAATTACATACTCTTTTCTCTCCTGGGGATCTACTGTGCTAAGTGCTTGTTAAAAGTGTATGTCCCCTGGGGCCAGCGTTGTGGCACAGCTGGCCTGCAGTGCCGGCATCCCATATGGGCGCCGGTTTGAGACCCAACTGCTCCACTTCCGATCCAGCTCTCTGCTGTGGCCTGGGAAAGCAGTAGACGATGGCCCAAGTCCTTGGGCCCCTGCACCCGCCTGGGAGACCCAGAAGAAGCTCCTGGCTCCTGGCTTCAGATCGGTGCAGCTGTGGCCATTGCAGCTACCCGGGGAGTGAACCAGTGGATGGAATACCTCTCTCTGTGTCTCTCCTCCTCTCTCTGTGTAACTCTGAGTTTCAAATAAATAAATCTTAAAAAATAAAGAAGTGGATGTCCCCTAGGTGAGCTGTGCCCAGAGGGGGTTCCCCCCACACCCCGATCCTTCCCCAGGCGCTTGCTGCTTTTGGCCTGCCTACAACACAGGGAGAAATCTTGTGTGTAGGTTGAGTCAGGGCCTTGGCAAAAAGAAACATTTTTTGTGGTCTTAGGAGTAAAACACACAAAGGCACAGCAGCCGAGAACAGAGCACCACAAGGTCTTGCTGTGCCCACAGTGCAAAATCCACATGAGATTGAGCCTCTGTGGTGACACCCGGTGAGGGTTTAAATGGGGTAAGGGAGAATTCTGCCTTCCCAGGTGCATTAGCAGGGACCTGGATCGCAAGTGGAGCAGCCAGGATTTGAATTGGTGCCCGTTTGGGATGCCGGTGTTGTAGTATATTTTTTCATTGTACATGTAACAGGAATTTTCCATGAAGTCCTCTCATACATTCTGGTGGAAGTGGAGGTCTCCTGTGTACAAAGTTTCAGAATAAAATAGAGAACAGAAACTAAATAAATAGGTCTTACTGTCCATCTGAAATTCAGATCTAAGACTATTCTAGTTTTTTTGAAATGCGGAGACAGACTGGTCCACTTCCCACATGCCTGTAACAGCTGGGATTGGGCCAGAAGTCAGGATGGGTCTGAAACCAGGAGCCCAGAAATCCATCTGAGTCTCCCACACAGGTGGCAGGGACCCAAGTACTTGTGCCATCACTGGCTGCCTCCTGGGTATACATTAGCAGAAAGCTGGATTTGGAAGTGGAACTGGGTCTCAAACCAAGGTGCTCTGGTAAGGAATGTCGGCACCTCAAGCATCACCTTTATGTCTACACCAGATGCCTGCCCAGCGTTCTACTTTGGTTTGCTAAATCTGGCAACCTTACATGAACACGCCTTCTGTATTCCGTCTCCTCCAGCAGGAGCAATCATTCCTCATCGTGTTTCTTATTTTTCTGCAGGGTCTCCATCCTACTGTTGTTGACTGGTAGAACTGTGCATTCATTAATGTAAAACATTTTGTTACATTATCACCAACACTGCTGTATTGACTTTTGTTGATGTAATGAAATAGCAGCATCCTGAGTTGCTCTTGACTGGTCTGACTGCTGGCCAGGACATAAATGGGGATCCTGGGCTGGCCAGAGCTGTCATTCTTTGGGGTCTGGGAGTAGGGACAGTCTGCTTTTTTCCCACTTCTTAAATCATGTTGTGAACTGAATGCACTGATTGATACCTCCTAAACACTAATTAATGTTGTGAAACTTTAATTAGAGCTTACAACAAGTGGCCTATTTGTCTGGTGAAAATAATGATACCTGTTCTACCTTCTTCACCAGATTGTTTTGAGAAAAAAAAAAAAGTAGCTGTGTAGTTTTTAAGCTGCGAAGTGCAAGCCAGACATTGGGGAACAGCCCTGGTCTCTTGATAATTTGTGCCTTGACATGAACTCCTGATGGAATCAACTCCTGCTCAAGTGCCAAGTGACCCTGGGGCTGGAACTATAGTGCTCTCCTCATCCGACAGTGAAATGAACAGAGGAGCGTTGAGAGGAGACTGCTTTGGCTTGCAGTGCCATCTTTATTTTTGCTGATGGTTTCCTTTTGCAGTTTGTTCCAGCTTTCTCCCATGCTTTTTCATAACCTGAACATGTTTTTTTGGGGAGGCAG